CGGGAGGGGCTGTAACACGGGAGGGGCTGTAACACGGGAGACGCTGTAACACGGGAGACGCTGTAACACGGGAGGGGCTGTAACACGGGAGGGGCTGTAACACGGGAGACGCTGTAACACGGGAGGGGCTGTAACACGGGAGGGGCTGTAACACGGGAGAGGCTGTAACACGGGAGGGGCTGTAACACGGGAGGGGCTGTAACACGGGAGGGGCTGTAACACGGGAGACGCTGTAACACGGGAGGGGCTGTAACACGGGAGACGCTGTAACACGGGAGGGGCTGTAACACGGGAGACGCTGTAACACGGGAGACGCTGTAACACGGGAGGGGCTGTAACACGGGAGACGCTGTAACACGGGAGGGGCTGTAACACGGGAGACGCTGTAACACGGGAGACGCTGTAACACGGGAGGGGCTGTAACACGGGAGGGGCTGTAACACGGGAGGGGCTGTAACACGGGAGGGGCTGTAACACGGGAGACGCTGTAACACGGGAGACGCTGTAACACGGGAGGGGCTGTAACACGGGAGACGCTGTAACACGGGAGGGGCTGTAACACGGGAGACGCTGTAACACGGGAGACGCTGTAACACGGGAGACGTTGTAACACGGGAGACGCTGTAACACGGGAGGGGCTGTAACACGGGAGGAGCTGTAACACGGGAGGGGCTGTAACACGGGAGGGGCTGTAACACGGGAGACGCTGTAACACGGGAGGGGCTGTAACACGGGAGACGCTGTAACACGGGAGAGGCTGTAACACGGGAGACGCTGTAACACGGGAGACGCTGTAACACGGGAGGGGCTGTAACACGGGAGACGCTGTAACACGGGAGAGGCTGTAACACGGGACAGGCTGTAACACGGGAGGGATTGATTGATTGATGAAGATTAAGCCACCCAAAAGGTGGCACGGGCATGAATAGCCCGTAAGTGGTGGCCTTTTCAAGCCATTACCAGTATCAAGAGCTGATACTGGAGATCTGTGGAGGTGCGAATGCACCCTGCATGACGGGAGATGTCTCCTTTGTGAATGTGTTAAGATGACGATGAAGCAACCCAAAAGGTGGCACGGGCATAAATAGCCCGTAAGTGGTGGCCATTTTAAGCCATTACCAGTATCAGGAGCTGATACTGGAGATCTGTGGAGGTGCGAATGCACCCTGCATGACGGGAGATGTCTCCCTTGTGAATGTGTTAAGATGAAGATGAAGCAACCCAAAAGGTGGCACAGGCATGAATAGCTCGTAAGTGGTGGCCCTTTTGAGCCATCACCAGTATCAATAGATGATACTGGAGATCTGTGGAGGTGCGACTGCACCCTGCGTGACGGGAGATGTCTCCCGGACCAAGTGGTGACCAAATGGTGACGGGAGGGGCTGTAACACGGGAGGGGCTGTAACACGGGAGGGGCTGTAACACGGGAGACGCTGTAACACGGGAGGGGCTGTAACACGGGAGGGGCTGTAACACGGGAGGGGCTGTAACACGGGAGGGGCTGTAACACGGGAGGGGCTGTAACACGGGAGGGGCAGTAACACGGGAGGGGCTGTAACACGGGAGACGCTGTAACACGGGAGACGCTGTAACACGGGAGACGCTGTAACACGGGAGAAGCTGTAACACGGGAGGGGCTGTAACACGGGAGGGGCTGTAACACGGGAGGGGCTGTAACACGAGAGGGGCTGTAACACGGGAGGGGCTGTAACACGGGAGGGGCTGTAACACGGGAGGGGCTGTAACACGGGAGGGGCTGTAACACGGGAGAAGCTGTAACAGAAGACAGATTCCGTTACAATTAGCACACCCCAGTTCCGTTAACGGTACCGGGTGTGCCAGTACTAGTCCCATTACACTTGCAGGGTGTGGCACTGCGCCCTGTTAATGGCTGGACAGTGCCGTCACTGTGCATATAATACACGCGAGAGACAGAGAGGAAACAGGTGTTTCAACAGTGACCGCATTGAGAAGGGCAACAGTCTCACTGCTCTTCTTAGTGGCCGGTGTTTATGACGACTAAGACATTCAGGGAGGGAAGGGAAGTTATTGAGATGTACGTTGAATTTATGTCTGTTCATTTCTGTTCATTTGGAGACATTTCTCCTCGACTAAATCTTTTTTGTGTGTTAGTATTGATCCAGTGAATATTGGTGACTCAAAATTATTTATCTGAGAGAAATGGTGGAGATCTCGAGCCTCTAGTATGACCTTGATGTAGACACTAAACTCATCTTGGATCACCAAGACTCACCCTCATGGCTTCATTTTTTTCACTTTGAGTCTGTTAAAAGTAGTGACGAAGAAATGAATTAAATGCCAGTCATATTTATCAACGAGCGATTTAAAAAATAGTGTCAGTTTAACATATTTAACATGAATACCAATAGCCTCATCGAACACACTCACACACTCCAGTGAGTATTTTCGAGTCTTAGGTCACAGACTCGTAGAAAGACCTTAAGTTGTTTACAATGTCACTGACGAGAGCATCAGTAGGAGCCGTGATAACTGTCAATTATCTTGTGGTGGTGATGCTAAAATCTGGAGTTCATTGTAGATATAACACCACCACAGTCAATGATTTTAGTGTAGAGCTGTCGGGCTGTCCGCCTTGCTGACACTGTGTTGTGGTGTCTGGCAGCCAAGTTGAGCCTCGTTGCCAGTGCCAGAATATTTTATTCTACATGAAGACCTTTTAATATAATTGCCTCGCATTTTAATCCACTTGTAAATGCTTCTCTTCAACATTCAGTTCGAGAGTCTCAGCCACTAATCTTTGGGAAGATTGGATATTTAATTTCATTTTAAGCCGATTTTAGTTACACTATATATTAGATGTTTGAAATTTAAATGGGTTTTACAGTTTTTCTAAGTAATTTCGTAACTTATAATTAATGTTATTTATCCATGCATATGTTCGAATGTATTTTGTACGATAAAGTCCCTACTTGTTTTTCTGTTAAATACTCAATATATATATATTATTAATATCTACTTACCATATCTTGTTCCAATATTTTTCACATGAACGTTAAACATCTTTTATATCAAGTTGAAATTCCTGTAATATTAACGCTAAGTATATTTGGCATAATATTGTGAGCCTTGACCTGCTGGGAGGGACGAGGCGGACTGGTCCACGAGTCTGGGGTGAGAAGAAAGCATTGTTCACCCCTGTAAGTGACCAGACCTGCTGCCTGGGGGCCTATGGAGGGGAAGCCGCGGCACTGTCACGGGTTTTGGCACTGCTACAATGTGGGGACCAGTTCACCTTGCCTGGCGTAAGTGGACCTCTCCACCCTCTCTCCCTGTCTCTCTCTCTCTCTCTCTCTCTCTCTCTCTCTCTCTCTCTCTCTCTCTCTCTCTCTCTCTCTCTCTCTCTCTCTCTCTCTCTCTCTCTCTCTCTCTCTCTCTCTCTCCCTCTCCCTGTCTTCCCCTCTTTGTCGTTTCTTAACAAACCCGGATTTTAATAATAATGGAGCTGATATTTCTGAGAGAAACTAGAGGCTAAGAGCTGTCTTCTCGCGTCACCGCGTCAGATATCTGGCGCTAGAAACCGATCTCTTTAGTGAGCCCAGTATTAGTTTGTCATTGCGAATAGACTTAATTTACTGCTAGATTACGGGCATGTTAAGTTCAGATGAACCAACTGTGTGGCCAAGCCGGCATGTGGTCCCTTGACGTGCTCTCTCACGTGTTTACGTGGTGAGAGAACATGTTCCAAATGCAAATATGTCTTGGTATGAATGATCGCTGATGGAGTGATAGTTCAGCATGTGATAATTGTTGGTTGCTGTATGCTTCTACCTGCGTGTGCGTGCGTGCGTGCGTGTGTGTGTGTGTGTGTGTGTGTGTGTGTGTGTGTGTGTGTGTGTGTGTGTGTGTGTGTGTGTGTGTGTGTGTGTGTGTGTGTGTGTGTGTGTGTGTGTGTGTGTGTGTGTGTGTGTGTGGGATAAACTGCAGGATTGAGGGGGTTGGTGACAGCGTTGCCTGACCCGGGTCTGCAGTACAGTACCGGCTACAAGGAGCCCCCATTCCCCCCCCCCCCCCCCCCCCCCCCGACAAGTTAGCCCCCTCAACCCTCTCTCTGCCATATTTTACGGCATCCCGGGCCTTTTTGTGGTGTCCCGGACCATTTGGGCTTTTCCTCGAGCATGGTCTTCTTGGGGTCTCAATCTCTACTACGGCCAGTTTTATGGGATTTTTGTGCTGCATGATTATATTTTGCAGGCGGTCATGTTCTTGTTATTGATTTCCTTTTTTTTTTTTTTATTAAGTTATGAGGTACATGTGCATTAGTGCAGCTACCTTAGACTATATGAAGTGGAGTACAGTGTGTCAAAAAAGCTAACTAGGTGATGCTATAAAATCCCCATCACACGGGTTACAGTAAGTTGATAAACTCTTTGGACATTGCACATCAGGTTTCATTACTTGGCACGTATTAAAAAGACCAAATTTGAATCATGTGAATTACGGAGCCTTACATTAATGCCAGGTGAAATATCTTCAACAATGGAGGCCAAGTGAACAGATTTAAATATTTACAAGTTTGTTCTCTGGCTCACACATCGGCTACCCTGGAACATTTAGCGATTAATAGGTAGTGTGAACTCTAACTGACTGTGCTGTTCATGTGAACGAGAGAACACAATCTTACTGCTCATCTTAAAGTTATCTAGTTTATATCCATTGTGTCGAGTTTTATTTTGTGATGCTATATTTCAAATCTTATTTGCATCATATTTTTATATAATTTCTTCCATTTATTCTTCAATTACGTCATCTCCTGTGCTTCGTCTTTCTAGAGAATGTAAGTATTGTCTCAGATTCAAAGTGTGTTCTTCAAGCTGTTGAGAGCCTCTCCTGCAAGACAGACAGCAAGAACCTCATGACGGTAATTATAAATAACCTGCTCGCTGGTTATTTATAATTATCCTGCTCGGATAAGTGGTTTAGCATCTCCTGAGGATTCCATCTCACAAAATGAACCCACTATGATGACAGAGAGCCCAAGAGAACCCACTATGATGACAGAGAGCCCAAGTGAACCCACTATGATGACAGAGATCCCAAGAGAACCCACTATGATGACAGAGAGCCCAAGTGAACCCACTATGATGACAGAGAGCCCAAGTGAACCCACTATGATGACAGAGAGCCCAAGTGAACCCACTATGATGACAGAGAGCCCAAGTGAACCCACTATGATGACAGAGAGCCCAAGTGAACCCACTATGATGACAGAGAGCCCAAGTGAACCCACTATGATGACAGAGAGTCCAAGTGAACCCACTATGATGACAGAGAGCCCAAGAGAACCCACTATGATGACAGAGAGCCCAAGTGAACCCACTATGATGACAGAGAGCCCAAGTGAACCCACTATGATGACAGAGAGCCCAAGTGAACCCACTATGATGACAGAGAGCCCAAGTGAACCCACTATGATGACAGAGAGTCCAAGAGAACCCACTATGATGACAGAGCCCAAGTGAACCCACTATGATGACAGAGAGTCCAAGAGAACCCACTATGATGACAGAGAGTCCAAGAGAACCCACTATGATGACAGAGCCCAAGTGAACCCACTATGATGACAGAGAGTCCAAGAGAACCCACTATGATGACAGAGCCCAAGTGAACCCACTATGATGACAGAGAGCCCAAGTGAACGAGGAAATTAGGGGGTCATTAAACTGACAGATCATAGGCACCGCCAACCACGAAGTCACCTGAATTGAAATTGTTCTTAACAATCAGTTTTTCTCAGACTATCAACTCAATTGGAATACGTTGTTAAGGCTTCCGCACCCATATCATTGTCTGGTATTAAGACACCGGAATCATTGGCCATAAGCTGAAAAGAAATATTAAAGAAAGATTGTCTTTACGTTTCAGTAAATTAGGTCCAATTTAGTTTTCTAGAGAGGTGATGAAGGGCCCCTTTTAGGAGGAAAATTAAGGGGGGGGGGGGGGGGGGGTAGAAAGGGGGGGAGTGGAATAGAAGGAAAGAAGGCAAATGTGGTAGGAAAGAGGGGAGGTTTAGAGGGGTAGAGGGGGGAAAGGGAAGGATATAAGGTACAAGAGGGGGGGGGGAGTTATATCGAGGCGGTGGTAGGGGAGGAGGGGGGGGGGGGTTAGGGCTGTAATTGCAGTGTGACTAATGGTTGTTTGTGCGCGTAGTGATCCACTAATTAATGCCTTTATAACGAGGCGGTCGTCACCACCCAAGACCGGGACCAATTTGTCCAATTTGGTGGTAATTGTTCGTGTTTTAAACCTGTTCCGTGTAGGCAGGAGGGTGCAGGGTACAGCTGGAGTCAGTGTAGCAGGGTACAGCTGGGGTCAGTGTAGCAGGGTACAGCTGGGGTCAGTGTAGCAGGGTACAGCTGGGGTCAGTGTAGCAGGGTACAGCTGGAGGCAGTGTAGCAGGGTACAGCTGGAGTCAGTGTAGCAGGGTACAGCTGGAGTCAGTGTAGCAGGGTACAGCTGGAGGCAGTGTAGCAGGGTACAGCTGGGGTCAGTGTAGCAGGGTACAGCTGGAGTCAGTGTGGCAGGGTACAGCTGGAGGCAGTGTAGCAGGGTACAGCTGGGGTCAGTGTAGCAGGGTACAGCTGGGGTCAGTGTAGCAGGGTACAGCTGGAGTCAGTGTAGCAGGGTACAGCTGGGGTCAGTGTAGCAGGGTACAGCTGGGGTCAGTGTAGCAGGGTACAGCTGGGGTCAGTGTAGCAGGGTACAGCTGGAGTCAGTGTAGCAGGGTACAGCTGGGGTCAGTGTAGCAGGGTACAGCTGGAGTCAGTGTAGCAGGGTACAGCTGGGGTCAGTGTAGCAGGGTACAGCTGGAGTCAGTGTAGCAGGGTACAGCTGGGGTCAGTGTAGCAGGGTACAGCTGGAGTCAGTGTAGCAGGGTACAGCTGGGGTCAGTGTAGCAGGGTACAGCTGGGGTCAGTGTAGCAGGGTACAGCTGGGGTCAGTGTAGCAGGGTACAGCTGGAGTCAGTGTAGCAGGGTACAGCTGGGGTCAGTGTAGCAGGGTACAGCTGGGGTCAGTGTAGCAGGGTACAGCTGGGGTCAGTGTAGCAGGGTACAGCTGGAGTCAGTGTAGCAGGGTACAGCTGGAGGCAGTGTAGCAGGGTACAGCTGGGGGCAGTGTAGCGGGGTACAGCTGGAGTCAGTGTGGCAGGGTACAGCTGGAGGCAGTGTAGCAGGGTACAGCTGGAGGCAGTGTAGCAGGGTACAGCTGGGGGCAGTGTAGCGGGGTACAGCTGGAGGCAGTGTAGCAGGGTACAGCTGGAGGCAGTGTAGCGGGGTACAGCTGAAGTCAGTGTAGCAGGGTACAGCTGGGGTCAGTGTAGCAGGGTACAGCTGGAGTCAGTGTAGCAGGGTACAGCTGGGATCAGTGTAGCAGGGTACAGCTGGAGTCAGTGTAGCAGGGTACAGCTGGAGTCAGTGTAGTGGGGTACAGCTGGAGTCAGTGTAGCGGGGTACAGCTGGAGTCAGTGTAGCGGGGTAGAGCTGGAGTCAGTGTAGCGGGGTACAGCTGGAGTCAGGGGTAACAGGATACAGCTGTAGTACACTAAGGTACAGCTGGAGTATCTCCTGTGTTGGCAGCATGTGTGTGTGTGTATCTCCCCCGGTGTCTGTTTTAAGACCTATGCGCCACCTAGTGTAACACACGCAAGGTGTGGCGAGAGCGCGGGCCACCATCACCACAAACCAGGAGCCAGATTCACGAAGCAGTTACGCAAGTACTTACGAACGTGTACATCTTTTCACAATCTTTGACGGCTTTGATTACATTTATTAAGCAGTTCACAAGCATGAAAACTTTCCAAAATCAACTGTTCTTGTAGTTATAAACAGCCTCCTGATGGTGCTTCGGAGCTCAATACCTGTTTAATAGTTGTAAACAAAGCCGCCAAAGATTGAGAAAAGATGTACAGGTTCGTAAGTACTTGCGTAGCAGCCTTTGTGAATCTGGCCCCAGGTAACCGGCCGTAGCAACAGCCTATTGTAGTAGTCTCTCTGGCGTCTGTTCCCGCCAAAATATCATCTCTGCTTTTTGACTCGTTGTGTGTTTAGTAAAATATTGAAAGAAGTTGGTACTATGCGGATATTACCGCCGAGGGATTATTAATTAATGGGGATTTTGAGTGCGTTTTGGGTGTACTTTTTTGGGATACATTTATTTTACATTTTGATTTTTTGAATGCGTTTGTTGAGAGCATTTGTTTGATTAATGAGGAATCGTTCTGTATCGAGGCTATTGTTATGATGTGGAGGCTGTTTCCTGCCGCTGTTGTTGTTGAAGCTGTTGAGTCCGTGTATGGTGTTGCTGTGTCTTGTTACTTTTGTTTCTGTGTCTTGTATTTACGTTACTACTGCTACTTCTGTTACGGCTTTATGTTATTTTGCAACTTCTGTTGTTGATATTTATGTTACTGATGCTGATCCTGTTGCTGCTCCGTATGCTCCCATCGCTGTTGTTGATACTGCTACTGTTGCTGCTGCTTTTATCTGTTCCTTTTGTTACAGTGTGTTGCTAAATGCTTCTGATGCTCCCGACGTCACATTCAATTATTTGAACATATTGGGATCCCTCTCTCTCTCTCTCTCTCTCTCTCTCTCTCTCTCTCTGTCTCTCTCTCTCTCTCTCTCTCTCTCTCTCTCTCTCTCTCTCTCTCTCTCTCTCTCTCTCTCTCTCTCTCTCTCTCCCATCACCTCTCTCTCTCTCTACAGCTTTCACACACCACACAAGATGGGGCGAGGTGATGCTCTGGTGACGTCGGCGAGGGTAGCAGGTGAGAGACGGCAGGTCTGTCTTGGGGTTAAGACAGAATACACTTCAGTGTAAGCTGACTGTTGATAGTCGGACGAGTGTGAGACGCATTGCTTCGGCCGTCTAAACTTCTATTGTCACTGTAATTGCCAATTATTTGAGTGATGTTGGTCAGGGGTATCGCAGGTGATGGTCTGCTTGTATGCAGAAATAATTGATCATGATCAATTATTGATCAATAGTGATCAATTATTGATCTTATTGATCAATAGTGATCATTGATAGTGCCTTGTTGCCTGTGCATCGTCAGGTTGTTTGGCTCCGAGGAGCTCCTCGTCAACCTGGGTTTAGGGTTGACTGGTACTTAGTCCTTCCCCGTGAGGGGCAAACTCTGTGAGCAGGAACTGGGGGCATGATCTCGCACACTACATCACCGAATGCTGATAGTCACGATTAACAACCCATTTAGACGCGTTGGCATGACGTACCTAGAGCTTCGCAATTACTTTATTCACTCTCGTGTTCATGAAGATATCCTCATATTGCACCCAAAATTTGCCAGTGAAGGCTACTGATCACATGCCTCTGTATGACTAACCATCCTGTGTGATGGGGATTTTTAGCACCACGTAGCTAGCTTTTTGACACGCTGTACGTCCCTTCATATAGTCTAGGGTAGCTGCACAAATGCACATGTACCTAAATGTGACAATAAAAAGAAAAGTGAGTAGTCTCACACACACACTTCCGTGAGGACTCTTGACCCTCCCACCCTCGTGAGGACCCACTCTCCCCTTCCCATTCAATCCCTCTACTCATCTTCCACCTCTGTCTCTGTGCTTCTTCATCTCTCGTTCCCTGGTCACCTACGCTTCTCTCCCCAAGTCATTTATTCCTCCCTTTAGCAATCAAGGTCCACCCTCCTTCCCTTTTGGTCTCTCACTCTCAATCACTTTCTCTTTGTATTCTACACCTCTCGCACCGTTTACTCTCTCTATGCTCTCTCTCTCTCTCTCTCTCTCTCTCTCTCTCTCTCTCTCTCTCTCTCTCTCTCTCTCTCTCTCTCTCTCTCTCTCTCTCTCTCTCCCTTCATCCACCTCAGTCTGCCCATCACACTCTACCTCCGTCAACGAATACAGGGGAAAAACACTGCTGGCGGTGGCCCGGTTCGTCTCGCTATGTCAGCAACTTGTCAACACCCGGACTGTGGCGACCAGCGAGTACCTTGGGGCAGGTGTCCACGCTCGACCACCTGGCGGTGTCGGACCAGCGGTGCGTGGCCACACATGTGTCTTGACAACTCACACAGCAAGAGTTCGTGGAGGAGTAGTCTTGTAGTCCAGTCCATTGGTGGGTCCTCGGAGCTGGCAGGGACACGCGCCAGTAGCCTGGACATACTAAGGGCTGCAGTTCAAAGATTAACGAGTCCCGCCGTATGGTATGTAGACCGAGAGGTGCCCCCCCCCCTTGGTATACATACAATGACAGTTTACGTTAGTCCTTTACTTTAGTTCAGGACTAAAGTGTACACGTGCTTATTGGTCAGTACGGTATTGTTGTGGTCTTAATAACACCCCAGAGGTTGAGTCCAGCCCCCAGACAGCATCACTACACAAAGGTTGAGTCCAGCCCCCAGACAGCATCACTACACAGAGGTTGAGTCCAGTACCCAGACAGCATCACTACACAGAGGTTGAGTCCAGTACCCAGACAGCAT